AAAAATTTTATAACAACTGCAACATTTGTATATCTCGACTACAAAATCCAACAAATTATTATCCGACTACCAACCACCTCCGGATGCCTCTTATGCCAGAGACCTGATTCCAGTCACGTGGAGGTCCTGTAACTATAGACTATGTTGCATTACATATCTACCGATAAACAAGGCACGTGGTTGTATTCCTGAGTATGTCCAAATTTAGGAGGTAAACAATGCCAATCTTTTGGAGAGGGTAAGCCAAATCGTCCACTTTTTGTCGAAAATTTTGGAAGAGACTGGCCAAGTGAAAAAAAAAATCTAGGAAGAGTCCACTTGCACCCAAGAAAGTAGTTACATCCATATAAAAAACCCAACAACTTCTAACCTTCTTTTAGAAAAGGGGTGGGGTACTTATGCTTTCTTATCGATAAGTAATAAACTCTGGGCTTGTTGGCAAGTAGCATATAAGAACTACTTTTAAACGACAAGTGCCGTGCATGTGGTGAGTGATAAACTCTGAAGAAGTTAGCAGGTAGCATATAAGAACTACCTCTAAATAACAACTGCCGACTTATAGTGCTACTCTCCTGTTTTTACTATATGCTATTATTTTTTTTACAAAAAAATGTGTTTAGATTTTTTGGTACAAGTGATCGTTGGAAAGAGTTGTTAAATTATCTTATTAATAGAGATTTTGAGTATCATTTTGAAGTATATATATATAATATAATTAAGATAGACCAAGAATTTTCAAATATTTCTAACCAGTTTTATTTAAATAACTTTAGTTATCCAGGAATACAAAAGTTGGTCAAGTACATGATATATAGTAGTTGTTTTGCTGAAAATTTTTTTGAAAAGATTTAGATTTTGTTCTAAATAATCTATCATATATTTGGTGTTTTTTTCTCTAAGAGCAGTTTCTAAAGATTGTATTTCTAGTATTGTAGTATTCTTGTTATGTTTGTGTAGATGCTAGAAATATTCATTGCTCTCTATTGGCATTATTGTAGAGTTTTGATTTAATATTTTCTTATTCTACTATATCTTTAAGTTTGTCTTCAAAGACACATTTCTTGTTTTTAGAAGTAGAGTATGCTAGTAATATTGCCTTAAGTGCAATTTCTCTGCAATAGTTATTTGTATATGATAATGTATTATATAGAAGTTTTCTTGTGCTGTGATTTGATTTTTGTAATAATTTATAACTAGCTTTAGCTTCTGAATTACTATCATCTAGTTTTGAGTTATAGAGTATCTTTTTAATATTATTGATTAGTTATAAGATAGCAGAAGTATAGTAAGAAATATTGTAAAGAATTTCATCAAATTCTTACTATTGTTTTGACATTGTATATAAAAAATATTATTCTATTTGTGATAGTTGGTAGTTAATTTCTGCATTATGTAGTTCTTTATACAGAATCCTCAGATAGTTAGTTTTTGGCAAAGTGTAGTCTAAGTATATTTTAGTAGGTAAATTCTTAAGTTCACTTGTGAAGAACTATGATTTTGGTTTATTATAATAATTTCTGTTTAATAATGGTTTCATAACAATTTAGTTGCAATTGAATATTTTGCTTACTTGTTATTAGCTAAATAGTAATAAAAAAAAGTTTTACTAAAAGCAAATGACACCAAAATAAAATAGTCTAGATTGCTATTTACTGTATAGTAAGATTATATATAGGTGCTATCAAGGAAAAATCTACAATCGGGCTTTCAAATATATTTTGTATATAGTTGTTTATCTGTATATCGTCTATGGTAAATCTATGTTCAATAATAGATTTACATAGATGGCACACAGATAACCAACTGTACACAAAATATACTTGAAAGCCCGATTGTAGGTTTTCTCTTGACGGCACCTATATATATAAACTTAATCCTGTATAATATTGTAAAAATTTTATTTTATATTATAATTTAGGTACTAATAATAAAACAGGCTACAAAGTATGTGATCTTATTATATATTATAAAGTTTATTTCTTTTTCTTTAACAGAAAATATAGATAAGTACATGAAATAGTATAATTACTTGGAAAAGCTTCTTTATTATTTTATGATTATTATATACACTTTTTCTAAATACAAACTTTATATAGAGTTTATTATAATTTTTTTTTTATAGTATTATATCAAAATATACATACTTTAGTATAATATATACTTAAACAGAAGTAGTGTTTTTTTTTTATTTTTTTATTTTATTTATTTATTTTTTTATATATGCTTTATAACATATATTTTATCTAGTGTAGTTTTTTTATTATATACACTTCAGAATAGTGTTTTATATACTTAAATCTAAAGTAGTATTTTTTTTTGTTTTTTTTTATTATACTTTATACACTTAAATTTGAAGTAGTATTTTTTTTTATTTTTTTTTATTATACACACTTTTTCTAAAGTAGTAGTTTTTTTATACAGTAGGAATTATAAGTATCTTATCTCTTCTAACTTTTTAAATAGAAAAGCTACAACTTTAAAATTTTTACAGTAAATAATATTAAATAAATATAGATCAGTAACAAAGTTTTGTAGTTTTTTAACTACTATAACAAAAGTTAGATGAGAGCTGAAATTTTAATAGTTTTTTTACAAAAATTAAAAATTAATTAAATTTAATAGGCAATTCTCCAGTCAACTGGACAAAAATTTTTTTTTTATATATAAACTTTACTATAAGTGCGAATGCACCGAGCCTGTATCTAAAACTTTTTTTTTATACTAAATAAATTACCCTTTGGCTTCTAACAAAAGTTGTAGAGCTCATCAAAATATATTTAATACTGAAAGAATATTAAAATTGGCCTGGTAGTTTTTGAGAAATCTTTAAAAAACTTCTTTTTCATATATAAAATTTTTTTAA